GAAGAAGGGTCTCAACCCGAAACGTCAGCTTTCCTGCTCCTCTGATGCTGCTTGGCCTGCTGTGTTCATCCAGCTCTACACCTTGTTATAACAGATGAGTGTTGGGTGTAGTACTTGGTAAGGATATTCCAGAGGATTTTTCATGAATATATTATTTGACTTGTCAGTAGTAGTTAATATTTTTCTAATCATTAATGATTGTGTTGCAACTTGTGATACCTGATTTCTTTCTCTTTCTAGTCTGCATTAAAGCGACGAGGAAGTAAAGACTTACAAAAATCTGAAAAGAAATCCCAACAGATCACTCATGAGGTATTGCGATTATGTTTCAACATTGAACAATTTTGCACTTAACAGTAATTTAATTTTGTATAGTACAAACAATCCCTATTGATAATAGAAAACTTTTATTTGTAAAATTAAATAATTTCACTTTGTACCAATTTATTGACTGTGATTTAAATGAGAATATGTGAAATGAGCACTAGCAATACGAAGAATAATCTTTACTACTTGACTGGTAGCATGAAATCAAATTTTTGATAAGCTTTTGAAGTCTAGTGCTGGTTACAGATAGCAGTCTTAATCAATATTTAAACATGCATTTTTTCAAGATTAATTGTTCACATTTAGGCTTTAAAATCTTATGGAGTTTAATTTCTGATTGAGCAGGAACAGGGCAGTAGCACTCAAAAAATCATAGTTTAGATCGTATTGCCTCATCCTATTCTCAGTGTGCCCAATAGTATTTCCAGCCTGCCTTGGATGTGGTCATCCAGAGTGCCTATCTGTTTCACCTCATTTAGTCAGGTCTGCAGGAGCTCCCGTGATCTTTCGGTATTCAGAAACTTAATACATTTTCCCAGAGCATATGGGTAGAATATTTGCTGAGTAAAATGTACCCATTGGGACTAGCTTAGAGTAGCCTATCCATCACTGCTTAAAGAGATCACAGTGGACTACTCAGAAAATTGACCTGGTTGAGTTTTAAAGATTTTTGTTGGTTCAGAAAGAGCATGCGTCACTGGCCGACCAGACAGCCAGGAGCTCTTTCAGTCCCAGCAGCACCAATGGGAATGATGGCCACTTCTGAGACTCGAAGTAGCTCAGGCCTCACATACGATCAACAATTGAATGACACAGTCACTGTTCACCATATATCTGAAGTCCTTTGAAATAATTTAAAGTTATAATTATACAGGCAATTCCCAAGTTGTGAATGGGTTCTGTTCTTTAATATGTTTGTAAGTCAATTTGTATGCATGTTGGAATTCAGTACAGGATAATATAAAATATTCATTCATAAGTACAAGGATATGTTTGCATGTCGGATCTTTAATATTAATACATTTGTGTATGGAATCTCATTTGTAAGTCAGATGTTTATAACTTGGGAACTGTGTCTGATTGGTGAAAAGAGGTAGGTAGGTAGGCAGGCAGGTGGGGAAGGTGGTGCGCATGTCATTTTGTCATTTGACCAACAGTGGAGAAGGTAGAAGATGGCCCTCCTGCCCTGATGTCACTTAACCATTTGCTTGCCCACTGCCACCAGCATATGACTGGCACTGGATAGGCTATTCACCAGATGGGGAGACTGACTTTTGAATCCTGGTAGCCTTCTTGCCGACTTGTGATGGAGCATGATTTCCTCCTGATTGAGCACTCTCTGGCCCATAGTGGGATACTCTGGCTACAGCAGTTGTCCACCCTACCTAACCCACCCTCAACATACTCTCCTATCCTTACCAAATTCATACCGAGCTTTTCTGGGGCCTTCCTGACTGATTCCAATAACCTCAGACTCCACTCACGTTGTTATGCGAATAGTGTCTATAGTCGTGTCCTCTCAGCTAGATGCAGTCCCATGAGTGGCCGTTTCAGCTGATGGTGCTGCTGGGACTAAAGAGCTGCTGCCTGTCTGTTTAGCCAATGGCTCTTACAGGCATGATCTTTCTTCTTTAAGGGAATAGAAGCTCCAACAGTGGCCGATAAGTGATGGGTTGGCTGAAAATGCAGTCAGAATGCTCACAAATAACTGATGTGATGCTCCCTCCAAACCTGTCTCAACCTGTCTGGCTGCACCATCCATACCCATACCAGTCATCCAGTGTGTTGAAACTCCCATCTGGTTCCATTCTTATCTCTCTAACCATAGCCAGAGAATCACTTGCAGTGACTCCTCTTCCTGTTTCAGCACCAATACTTCCAGAGTGTCCCAATGGTGTATCCTTGGCTTTGTCTTGTTTTTCAGCTACGTGGTGTCCCTGAAGCTGGCTTTCTGTTAGCACTGAACACTCAGACTGAGCTCTAATTTCTGGGACTTGTTATTGAAAACTTCTCAGCATCCTGTCAGGTCCACACTCCTTTCCCTCCAGGAACTTCATTTTGTTCTTAGAAGCTAAGAAGTTGAACGCTGAAATACGCTTTTGCCAATTCTCTGCTACTGCTTTTATTTGTGGACTTCTCACACATTTCTCTTCGGACGATTTTTCTCCTCTTGCATTGACTGTCACAGTGTTTAGTTTCAGTCTTGCTCTCTCTGATCTGACTGCTTCTCATTAACTACTTGACTTGTTTGCTACTTGCATTGCTCCTTTTTCCCTTCACAGTGAAGGCAATAAACAGGGGGCATACGTTTAACATAATTGACAGTAGGATTAATGGGGAATTGAGGAGAAATTGTTTAATCTAAAGGATGCGAGAGATGTGGAACTCATTGTCTGAAAGGGTTATGGAGGCAAAAACTCTCGGTATTTAAAAGGTACTCAAATATGCCGTGCCCTGCAAACTTTTAGACCTAGACTTGGACGATAGGATTTGGCTGGATAGCTGTTTCTCAGATGCACAGACCAAAAGGCTTCCAGTGCTTTAAATTTATATGATTCAATGATTGAAGCCAAAACTTAAAACTTAAAAATTCTTTTAGGTGGAATTTCAAATTTCACTAAGTATTCAGATTATTACATATCAACAAGATGGCACAGATTATTATTGTGGATGGCCAGCTTAAAATGTATTAGTTATTTTTCTTATCAAATTTTAATAAGGATATGTATTAATTTGGTCATAACTAATTGATGACCTAAATGGACTGCTCCTGTTCCTATGTCTCATTAAATGCATCATTTATACACATCCAGATGTGACCTGGGTGCACCTTTTTATAGTGTCCTTTAACTGTCCTTGTTTGATGAGCATAGTTTCCACTGACTGTAACATACTTTTACATGTAAAAACCATTGTTCTACCAAAAAGAAGTGCTGTAAGAAGATGCCCCCATCCCAAAATTTTGGGCAAGTATCATTTTCATCTAATGATGGGTCATCGACATGAAGTTTTAATCATTTCTGTCGTGACAGATGTTACCATATTTGCTATGTATTTTCGACATGTGCTGCTTTCATTTTAGATTTCCAACATCCATGATATTTTGGTTTTCCACAGTTTTTAATATATTCACTCACCCACTCAGGGTTCAGTCTTGAAGACAGATTTTCTGTGCTGTTGATTGTAATTTTTGGGTCACTGCATGCTGTAGAGATTTGACTATAGAACATACATATTATTTTTCTCTACAGAAGGATCCCTGACTTGAAGTCAACCTGTTGGATAGATTTGGGTTCTATTTGGACATAGGGAACTCCAGAATAGACTTGTATTATCAGTAAGGAGTCTGCGGCCGTTAGTAGGGATGGGCAGGTCGTTGTGAGTCTGATCTCCTTTAGGAGTGGGGTTTATTCAATGGATTCAGTTCTCCTTTTGAGAATGAGGTGGGTGTGGTGGGGCTGCGTTGGACAGTTTGGGGTTTCTTTGTATCAGGATGGGTTGTGCCGTAATGAAAGGGAAGCCGGTTAGTTTGGTGATCTGGGAGGAAGCATTGCTGTTTCACCTGGCCCACAGGAAATGATGTAAAGGCACTTAGTCTCTCTCTCTCTGTGGAGTATCTCTTGAGCTGCTGTATTTCCTGACACCTGGACAATCTGGTTGACCATGTTTAAACCTAGAAAACATATTAAATGTGAGGTTGTCATTCTTATTAAAATAATTAGGGGAGAAAATGTCACAGCAATATTGACAGTCAACTGGTAAACCAGGTAATGTTCTGGGCAGCCGGGTTCAAATATAACAGTAGATGGTACAGTTTGAAATTAAAAACAATTTCAAGTCAAAAATCTAATGATGACCATGAATCCAATGGCAGTTGTCACAAAAAACTCAACTGGTTCACCAGTGGGAATGAAAACTGCCGTTCTTCTGGCCTTCCTTCGATCCTAGACCCACAGCTTGAGTCTTGGTTGAGCAAGCCATTTGATTGTATTAACTGCTTAAAAAGTCTCAAAAAAGCAGACATCTCAACTGGTTTCGACTAAGGCATTGGAAATGACATTGAAAGACTCAGCCCTCTCAATCCTGCAAAGTCTTCCTTACTGGGGTACCAAAATTGACAGAGCTGTCTCACAGACTAATCACGCAATAGCCTGACAAAGTCATACTCGTGAAATCACACAATTCGGAAAAGGTTTCAGACATAACCATCACCAGCAGGACAGATCAAAGCACAGTGGTATATATTTGGGAAGGAGTAGCCCTGTGAGTTCTTAAAATTGGTTCTGGGCTCCATGAGTGTCTTGGCACCAGATCTACTGATGAAATGGAAACCTACTGATGATTATTATATTCCATGCTCCCTTGGCTGACGACTCTTACATGTTGAGCACCATAATGGTGTAGAATTTGCTCTAGGTGGGTGACTTCATTGTCCATCAACAATCACAGCTCAGTAGCAGCACAACTGACTATTCCTTCAGCGTAGCTGGGTCAAAATTCTAGAACTCCCTTCCAAGTGGAATTTTGGGTCTACTTACAACAAGTAATTGACAAAGGCAGCTCACAGCAACATGTCAATAGAAACATGGTGTGGGCAACAAATACTGTGGCTATGAACGCCCACATCCCTTGAATTAATTTTCTTTAAAAATGACCAACCATGTCCCCAGAAGTGGGTTGGTTATCCAATGTCAGTCTCATCTTTGTTAAACATGGCAATGTGGGTTGGATTCGGGTGAACTATTCAAATGTTAAAATCTTCATCTGACCCCAACACATCAATCTTGTCATTAAAATTCTCCCTGGTTGTTCCTTTTTATGCATTTATTGGAAAGTGAGACATTCGGACAACATTACCATGCAATGTAAGCAGTAATTTAAGTTAAATATAGTCTGAAGTGACTTAAAAGTGTACAATGTACTTCTTTATTTCAGAGTTGTATCTTGGTTTTGAAACCGACTTAAGAAAATTGCAACTTAAACCATAAGATGTAGGAGCAGAAGTAGGCCATTCAGTCCATTATATCTGCTCCATCATTCAGTGAGATCATGGCTGATCTGTTCTCTCTACTCCACTTTCCTGCCTTTTTCCTAAAAACTTGATTCCTTAACTGATTAAAAATCTGTCTGTTTCACACTTAAATATCCTAACGGGCCAGCCTCAGCAGTCCTCTGCAGAAAGGAATTCAACAGATTGACTCCCCTCCGAGAGAACAAATCTTTCTTCATTCCCAGCTTAAATGTGTGACCCCGATCCTAAGATTATGCCCTCTGGTTCTAGACTCTCTCACGTGAGGAAACAAACTTTGTGCCACTCTTTAAAGTCCTCTAAAAATCTTGCATGTTTCAATGAAACCACTTTTCAGCCTTCTAAAATCCAGTGAGTAGATTCGGTCTACTCAGCCTTTCCTCAGAGTCCTTTCGTACCCGGTATCAGCGTAGTGAACCTTCTTGGACTGTCTCTAATGCCATTATATCTTACTTTAAATAAGGGACCCAAAATTGTTTGCAATATGCCAGCTATGGCCTGACTAATGCCTGGTATAGGCTTAGTAAAACCTCTCTACCTTTATGTTCCATTTCCTTTGAAATAAAGGCCAACTTTCCATTTGCCATCCTTATTACACTGAACTTAGATGCTAGCTGTAGTGATTGGGACCAGGTTGATCTTATTGACTAAGAGATCCTTGATTGGAATTGTTAACCTGGGCCAATCAGGGGGCCCTGTTTGACCAATATAAACAGGGGATTGTGTCCGTACCCGGGTATCCCTGGAGAAGGAGCACGTAGTGTGCACTAGCCCTCTCGATGCCTTTTGGGAGAGATGGGCCCTGCGGGTTGTGGAGTGCTTTATTTCCCCCACGAACTCTATTTTGGTTTGATCTCTACCCTCCCCCTCATTTTTTTCCACAGAGGCATTGCCCTGAGGGGCTCTGCTTGATACTGATGCTTTTGTCACATGGGCGCTTTTCCTGGTAGTGGTATATTAATAGAGTTATTTGCATAACTGGTGTTATATAACTAAGAAAAAAAAACAGGGGATTTAGAATCTCCTTAGTTTAGGGGACTGACTCCAAGCTGGCTGGCCACAGGTAGTGTACTGTGCACAAGTAAATAAAGGGTGACTTAGTGATGGGATACCAGCCTCTGTGCAGTTACTTGACTAGCTTTTTGTGATTCAAGGATGAGGACTCTCGAATCACTCTGTTCTGTAGATATCTATAGTCTTTCTCCATTTAAATAATATTCATCTCCTCTGTTCTTCCTACCCAAAACCCTTCCCACATCATATTCCATCTGCCAAGTTTTTGCCTACTCACATAACATGTCTACAACCATCTGCAGACTCTTTGTGCCATCCTCACCACTTACCTTCCCTCCTATTTTAATGTGACCTGCAAACTTGACTATAGTACATTCACTTTCCTCATCCAAGTGATTCACATATATTGTAAATAATTGCGACTGCAAAACTGATCCCTGTGGCACTCTACTAGTTACAAGTTGCCATCCTGAAGATGGCTCACTATCCTGACTCTCTGTTGTCCATTAGTTATCTAATCCTCTGTCTTGCTAGTATGCTACCTTCTAAGAGCATGGGCTCTCGTGTTATTAAGTAGCTACTGGTTCCAAGAAATTTTGAACTATTCCTTTGAACTGACTGCCAGTAATTAGCTGTCCTTTCGAGATGAACTTATTCCAATAAGTGGCAACGTTGGCATCTGAGAACAATCAGCGATAGCTGCTTGTCTTTCAATCTGTTCAATTTAACCTGTTAAGTATTGTAAAGAAAATCTATCTGTAGAAATAGTTTGGCTTTAAAGAAATTAACTTCCAATTTTGATATTATACAAATTGTCATCAGATTACTGTAAATACAGTAAGCCCTAAAAATCTGAGTATGACTTGCACTCAACCAAATGAGTGAGCTGGAATCATGGGACACCCTTCCTCCCAAATCTGAATCTGGATCAGCTGATTAATGAAATAGTCTTTAACAAATTAATGCTGTCAATACATTTTGGTGTACTTCAAGCAATTGAGACAGATTTTAGTTTGAAAAGAGCACCTCTATGATCCATTAGTTTCATATGCAATTTCCCTGTCACCCCTAAGTTTTCTCCTGGTTGAGTAATGCCAATTTTCATTCTTATTTCAAATTGCTCCACGGGCTTGCCCCATTGTTTCTGTGTAATCTCCTCCACCTCGGCAATGCTCTATGATGTCTATGCTCTAATTCTGATGTCTTGAGTGCACAGTGGCTCGGTGGTTAGCACTGCTGCCTTACAACACCAGAGATCCAGGTTTAATTCCACCCTCAGGTGACTGTGTGGAGTTTGCACATTCGCCCCATGTCTGCGTGGGTTTCCTCTGGGTGCTCCAGTTTCCTCCCACAGTCTAAAGATGTGCAGGCTAGGTGGATTGGTCATGCTAAATTGCCCATAGCTTTCAGGGATGTGTATATTAGGTGGGTTATAGGGGGATGGGTCTGGGTGCGATGCTCTGAGGGTTGGTGCGAACTTGTTGGGCCAAAGGGCCTGTTTCCACACTGTAGGGATTCTATGATTAGGGGCTGTGCCTTTAACTCTAAACCCTGGCATTCCCACCTTAAACCACCCTTCCCATGTCCACTGCACCAGTTCTCTTTTCTCCCTTAAGATATTTCTCTAAAAACCCATCTCTTTGAACAAGCTTCTGGCATTTCATGTAGCTTTGGCACCATATAAAGCTCAGAGTTAAATTTTGATTTATAACATTGTTCTAAAGAACTTGGCATGTTTGATCATGTTAATAGGGCTATACAAATATAAGTTGTTTTTTGTTTTAAACTGCTCACAGTCTACTGTCTGAGATTATTTATTCAAATGAAATCTTCCGAAGCATGAAAATAAACCATTGTACCAATTCACTGATTCTCAGCTTTGTAAAATCAGCTTTGCTTGTTTGTCATGCTCCATTGATATCTGTTACTTCAGATTGTATACATGAGGATTTTTTTTTTGTTAATTATGCCCCAAGGAGGACAACGATGACATAAAATGCCAGCTACAGTTTGTCAAAGAAGAAGCAATTTTAATGCGTAAGAAAATGGCAAAAATTGACAAAGAAAAGGATAGACTTGAATGTGAGCTGCAAAAGTACAGATCCTTTTATGGGGATCTGGACAGTCCTTTGCCAAAAGGTGAAGCAGGAGGGCCTCCTACAACCAGAGAAGCTGAACTAAAACTTCGTCTCCGACTGGTGGAAGAAGAAGCCAATATCCTAGGGAGAAAGATTGTTGAACTTGAGGTTGAAAACAGAGGATTGAAGGCAGAGTTAGATGATATAAGGGGCCACTATGAAAAAGAAGGAGCAAGTGGTGAAGATTATATTGGTGTTGGTGCTTCATCTTTTCGGGATCAAAGTGAAGCTGTGTCAGAACTAAGACAGAACCTGCAGCTTGTTGAAGATGAAGCTGAATTGCTGAGACGAAATCTGGCTGACTTGGAAGACCAAAATAAACGACTTTCCGCTGAAGTCAGTAAATACAAGTATAAAACAGGAAACATGCAGGATGCTTCCCGGAATAGTGATAATTCCAAAGTTACAGAAGTCCTTCAAGAAGAACTAAAGGCAGCCAGGATGCAAATTAATGAACTCAGTGGCAAAGTCATGCAACTACAGTATGAAAATCGTGTTCTGATGTCCAATATGCAGCGCTATGACCTGGCTTCCCATTTGGGCATCCGTGGCAGCCCCCGAGATAGTGATGCAGAAAGTGACGCAGGAAAAAAAGAAAGTGATGATGATTCTCGGCCTCCTCATAGGAAAAGAGAAGGTCCCATTGGTGGAGAAAGTGACTCAGAAGAAGTTCGCAATATCAGGTGCCTACAGACTCCGCCAAGGTCTTTATTTTCTACAGATGGCAGATTGCTTCAAAAAAGCCTCAAGGACAGACAACAGATGTCAGATATACGGCTGGAGGCAGAGCGACTGAGTAGAACTATAGATCGATTGATTACAGACACAAGCACAATTATAACTGAAGCAAGAATTTATGTAGCAAATGGTGACCTATTTGGCAGATTGGAGGAAGAAGATGACAGCAGCAGGATCAGAGAACACGAACTTCTCTACAGAATCAATGCTCAGATGAAAGCATTTAGGAAGGAGCTGCAGACCTTCATAGACAGACTAGAGGTTCCAAAAACAACAGATGAAAAAAATACAGAGGAACCTTTGTCTGTCAGTCAGGTGAGCAAGTTCAATGTCAATGCTAAATATAGTTAAGTGTTGTCAACTCCATTCTATGATTTACATTTCTGTATCATATGTCTTATACTGTAGGTGGGTACATTATTGATTATTATATTGTAAATAACAGCACATTTAGCACAAAGGGGCAGTTCACTAGATTTTGATAGCATTTAAGAGAGCAGATGATTGAAGTACATAAAAATATTCAGGTAGATTCCCAGGTAATACATAATGTAATATCTCATGGATTTAGTTCAATGTTATCTTTCAGTTCCAAGAAACTGGATAAGACCAGTAGTATGCGTTGCAAGATTTATTTGTCATGACATATAAAGTTCAGCAACAGTCATTAATTTTGTGTATTGAAGGTTGATTAATGTTTTATCTGCAATAACATATTTGTAAAATGGTACTGTGACATTTGTATAGCTGTATATTTACTGAAAAATCATATTGCTACTGTTGATACATGTATGACTGTTACTTAATAGTAATTCTTGCTTTTTGTATTTGCCTGCCCAGATGTTTCAACCTATTATTTTGCTTATACTCATGCTTGTATTATTTTCATCATTGTCCTACGCTACCATATTCAAATTGGTTTTTCTTTTCACACTTTTCTTTGTTCTGTAGAATCTCCATCTACTTGAGTATACCACCTTTTTAGTTTGTTTATTTATTTTAATATCTCATCAAGAATTCTGCAAACACAAAATAACACACATAGCGTTCGAGACATTACGGGATTACCATATGCAAAGCTTTGTAAAATACTGGAGACTACCAATTTTCAAGATGAACTTTTATATGAAGCCATTGGGTGAGTGATCTGAATTGTTTCTTTTTTGTTAAATTTGATGTTAGGTAATAATATGAGCCGTTATAACAGTTGCTGTACTTTAATTGTATGTATGTTCCCTATAAATTTAACAAATTCTTATCACAAAGGTAAGGATAGAAGATGGAAAGAAGTGCTATTTATTTCACTGTGGCATCACAGTAACAATAACAACTTTTTTTTCCATTGAGTCTGCCTTCTTATGCTGGTAGTCCCTGGTTAGAAAGTTAAACTTATGGCTTCTGATAGCCCATTCAGAATAAAGAATCTGAAATGGGATTAGGATTCAGGAAAAAGGCAAATGCATTTTTGGCTGGGGCAAACTTCATATAGAGGACACTTTTCAACAGAAGTCAGAAGGCCCTGAGACAGGTAGACATTATTTTTCTTTGAAGCGCTTTGAAAGTTAACTCTCCTTTCCTGCTTCTGGGCTGAGACGGAAGAAACTATGGTATATGTCAGACCTATACAGATTATATCAATGTGGAGAATTAAGTCTTGTGGCTTGTTCCATGAGGCCATTGATCTCTTGTTAATTTTGGTCTCAGTCAAAATTTGAAGAATTACATATTGTTGAATTCTTAAATGAATCAGACAATAAGGAGTCATGTCACAAATTCAGCTATTGGCCATTTCTCTTGAGGTCCAAAACATTTCTTCTTATGCCAGGATGAAGAGACTCAAGACTACAGGGATGTTGTATTTTGATGTAAGCTTCTGTGCAATGAAGAGCTATTTTTAATCTATTGTCTTTTACGACCAAAACCAAGAAATTGCTATGCACAATATTAATTGGAGATCAGTAGATTGCTCTGTCCAACATTTTAAGATATTTTCTAATCAATCTGTTCAAGAATGTTATAACACACCTCTGGAGCAGGCGAAACTCCAGTCTGGATCTCCTGATCCACAGCTACTACTGTGCCACCAGAGTCCCTGTGCCGCATTTTAATAGAATATTTAACTACTTAAAACATTCAGTGCACATTGCTAAATAAGTGAATGGAGATATGCCACATGGTCTAACTAAGATCCACTTAATAACATCACCAATAAATTCTAAATTCAAAATATGCACTGACATATTAAACATTTCAAAATAAAAATCAAGAAATAAATGGATTACAGGTATTTTACTAATAATGGATTAGCAATGCACATACGATTTAACATAATACCATTCATATTCCAATTTTCTGAGTGTATCACCTGATTAAGTAATAATACAGCAGGAATGGTAGCATTGTGCTGACGTCAGTGTACTAGTAATTCAGAGGCCTGATCTACTGTTACAGAGACATGGAGACCTCAACAACTACAGAATTCAAATTCAGTTAACCAAATCAATTTCTGTAATGGTTACCATGAAACAATCAAATTGCCCTGATTTTCTAATGTGTTTGACAGAAGGAAATTTTTTATCTTTACATGGACTGGTCTCTGTGTAAAAAATTAGAGGGCCCCGCTTTAAAAATTACAGGTCACCCTTTCAGGACAGAGATAAGGAGTTTCTTTTTGTCTCAGAGGACTGTGTGACAATTTTAAAATTCATTTCTGTGACATGGGTGTGGCAGCTGGGCCAGCATTTATTGCTTATCCTTAGTTGCCATTGAGAAGGCAGTAGTGAGCTGCCTTTTTGAACCGCTGCAGTCCACATGCTGTAGGTGGACAACAATGCATTTAGGGAAGGAATTCCAGGATTTTGACCCAGCGACGGTGAAGGCACGGTGATATATTTCCAAGTCAGGATTATGAGTGGCTTGGAAGGGAACTTGCAAATTTTCTGATCTGTCTAAATTTAAGTGGTCATGAGTTTGGAAGATGCCATCTGAGCAGCTTTGGTGAATTTTTGCACTGCATCTTAGACGGTACACACTGCTGCTATTGAGTGTCAGTGGTGGCGGAAGTGAATGTTCGTGGATGTGGTAACAATCAAGTGGGTCACTTAGTCCTGGATGGTGTTGAGATTCTTGAGTGTTGATGGAACAGCACCCGTCCAGGCAAGTGGACAGTATTCCACCACACTACTGACTTGTGCCTGGTAGGTGATGGACAGGCTTTGGGGAATCAAGAGGTAAGTTACTCATTGCACAATTCCTAGCCTCTGACCTGCACTTATAGCCATCGTATTTATGTGGCTACTCCAGTTCAGGTTCTGATTAATAGTAATCCCCAGGATGTTGAGAGTGGGGGATTCAGGATTCAAAAGCCATTGAATTTCACAGATTCAGTTGCAGATGGAATTTAACCCAGAAATCTGTAGAAGAAGTAACAAGACAGGGAAATAGTCAATGAATGGCAGGACCCTAGGAAACTCAGAGGAAAGAGGGATCTTGGGGTGCTTGTCCACAGATCCTTGCAAGGAACACAACAGGATAATTAAGAAACATATAGGACACTGCCTTTAGCAGTTGTGACACAGATTATAAGAGCCACAAACTCTGGGAAGCTAGGGAAGTGATTGCTGGGCCCCTTGCTGAGATATTTGCACCATCAATAGCCACAGGTGATGTGCTGGAAGACTGGAGGTTGGCTAACATTGTGCCACTGTTTAAGAAAGGTGGTAAGGAAAAGCTAGGGAACTGTAGGCCCGTGAGTCTGCCATTGGTGGTGGGCGAGTTGTTGGAGGGAATCCTGAGGGATAGGATCTACATGTATTTAGAAAGGCAAGGACTGATCAAGGATAGTCAACATGGCTTTGTGCATTGAAAATCGTGTTTCACTAGCTTGATTGAGTTTTTTGAACATGGAACGAAGAGGATTGATGAAGGCAAAGCGATGGACATGATCTATATGGACTTCAGTAAGGTGGTAAACTGGTTAGTAAGGTTAGGTCACATAGAATACAGGGAGAACTACCCATTTGGATACAGAACTGGTTCAAAGGTGGGAGACAGAGAGTGGTGGTGGAGGGTTGCTTTTCAGACTGGAGGCCTATGACCAGCAGTGTACCACAAGGATCAGTGCTTTTTGTCATTTATATAAATGATTTGGATGTGAACATAGAAGGTATGGTTAGTAAGATTGCAGATGACACCAAAATTGGTGGTATAGTGGACAGCGAAGAAGGTTACCTCAGAGTTCAATGGGACCTTGATCAGATGGGCCAATGGGCCGAGGAGGGGCAGATGGAATTTAATTTAGATAAATGTGAGGGGCTGTATTTTGGGAAGGCAAATCAGGGCAGGACCTATACACTTAATGGTAAGGTCCTGGGGAGTGTTGCTGAACAAAGAGACCTTGGAGTGCAGGTTCATAGTTTCTTGAAAGTGGAGTCGCAGGTAGATAGGATAGTGAAGAAGGCATTTGGTATGCTTGCCTCTATTGGTCAGTGCATTGAGTGTCAGCTTTGAGTGTCATGTTGTGGCTGTACAGGACATTGGTTAGGCCACTCTTGAAATACTGCATTCAGCTCTGGTTTCCCTGCTACAGGAAGGATGTTGTGAAACTTGCAAGGGTTCAGAAAAGATTTACAAGGATGTTGCCAGGGTTGGAGGGTTTGAGCTACAGGAAGAGGCTGAATAGGCTGGGGCTATTTTCCCTGGAGCGCCAGAGGCTGAGGGGTGACATTTATAGAGGTTTATAAAATCATGAGGGCCATGGATAGGGTAAATAGAAACGATGAACAAAAACAAAGTTGCTGGAAAAGCTCAGCCAGTCTGGCAGCATCTGTGGAGGAGAAAACAGAGCTAACGTTTCGAGTCCGGTGACCCTTCCTCAGAAGGGTCTGAGGTTCTGAGGAAAGGTCACCGGACCTGAAACGTTAACTCTGTTTTCTCCTCCACAGGTGCTGCCAGACCTGCTGAGCTTTTCCAGCAACTTTTGTTTTTGTTCCTGATTTACAGCATCTGCTGTTCTTTTGGTTTTTAAATAGAAACAATCGTTTTTCAGGGTAGGGGAGTCCAAAACTAGAGGGCATAGGTTGAAGGTAAGAGAGGAAAGATGTAATAGGGAACGAAGTGGCAACTTTTTCATGCAGAGCGTGGTGTGTGTATGGAATGAGCTGCCAGAGGAAGTGGTTGAAACTGGTACACTTACAACATATAAAAGGCATCTAGATGTGTATATGAATCGGAAGGGTTTAGAGGGATATGGGCCAAATGCTGGCAAATGGGACCAGATTAATTTAGGATATCTGGTCAACATGGACGAGTTGGACTGAAGGGTCTGTTTCTATGCTGTACAGCTCTATGACCGTATGATCAGGGAGGTTTTGTCGGAACTGTACAAAACCTTGATTAGGCCACAGCTGGAGTAAAGGTAAGGTTGCCAAGTCCCATAGGACTGCTGTCTCATTAGAGAGAAAACTGCTGGTGATTTGACCTGAGGGCCACCACACCTCAGGTGAAGGGTAAGGCTGAGAAAGAGAGTGCTTCATGGTAACCTCAGCTGGTGCAGGAATTGAACCCATGCCATTAGCGTCACTCTGCATGGCAAACAAGCCATTCAGCCAACTGAGCTGACCAACCCTAGCCACAGTACTGTCTACAGTTCTGGTTATCCCGCTATAGGAATGATGCTTTGGAGGGGGTGCAGACGAGATTCACTTGAGTGTTGTCTGCTCTGGAGAAGTTTAGTTATGAAGAGACACTGGATAAGCATCAGAAAATGAAGAAGGGTCTAGGCCCAAAACGTCAGCCTTCCTGCTCCTCTGGTGCTGTTTGGCCTGCTGTGTTCATCCAGCTCTACACCTTGTTATCTCAGGTTCTCCAGCATCTGCAGCTCCTACTATCTCTGCCTTTAAAAAGTACTTGGCTGAGCACTTGAAATCTCACAACATTCAAGCCTATGGACCAAGTGCTAGAAATGGGATTGGTGTAGATTTACGTAGTTTTGCTGGTGCAGACTCAATGGGCTGAATTTAGACGAGTTGAGTGGGTACATGCTGGCAGATGCTGTATATTGTAGATAAATGTGAAGTTAATCA